TCAACCTACTGGAGGGTACCTAAGCTAGTTATGTAATAAAAGACTGAATTCAGATTTCTATCATGAAAATTAAAGGGTTACAAATTGCCCTTTAGTTTGGTGCCACAAACAGGATGCAATGAAATGCTAATCTACCATCAGATTTCTTCCATGAACCTTAAAGGGTTAAAATAAAATACTTTGTCAACAGGATGAAATGGAAGTCCCATCTCCTATCGGATCCCTTTATGAACCTTAAAGGATTAAAAATTCCCGATTTGCTTTGCATTGTCAACTGGAAGTCCTATCCATGATCAGACCCCATTTGTGAACCTTAATGAGTTTTTAAAATAAATTAAAACTTTCCATTGATGTTATGAACAGGATGCCATGGAACTCAGGTCGAGTATAAGACTCCTTTGGTGAACCTGAAAGGATTTTTAACAATTCCCTTTTCCATTGGCGTTATGAACAGGATGCGATGGAATTGCGATAAATTATATGACTCCTTTTGTGAACCTGAAAAGATTTTTAACTATTCCCTTTTCCATTGGCGTTATGAACAGGATGTGAGGGAATTGCGATCAAATATACGACTCCTTTTGTGAACCTGAAAGGATTCTGAACAATTCCTCTTTCCATTGTTGTTACTAACAGGATACCATGGGATTCCGATCTATTGTAACACTCTTTTGTTCACCTTAAAGGATTCTTAACAATTCCCCTTTCGATTGGTGTTACGAACAGGGTGCCATGGAACTCTTATAAATTATAAGACTGCTTTTGTGAACCTTAAAGGAATCTTAACAATGTATTGTCGAAGGCTTTCATGGCCGGAATCACTGGGTTGTTGTAGGTTTTTTCGGACTATATGGCCATGGTCTAACGTTGGGAGATAATGCCTCTAGACCATGGCCATATAGCCTGAAAAAAATAGAATAGACTATAATAGCATTATTGTCACCATGCTATTGCACAACAAAATTAAATGCCTTCCCCATTACACACTACAAAACAAGACATTCATCCCTCCACACCCCAACAACCACCGCACAGCCACCGGTGCCACATGAAAATGGAGACTGATGTGTCCAAGGCAGCCATTCGTACGTACGTCTCTCTCCTGTCTCACGTACACGGCATCATTTGAGGTGTTCGTTGTCACCCTGTATTCTTCAGAAGAATAATCTAGATGCAAAGGACAGGAGATATGAAAGGATCCAGTCCAAGAGCCCAATCCTTCCCCTCACCATCTTCATCTCTTCTTGGAATCCTAGTTCATCTCTTGTGCATCACCTAGAAGACTCTGGTGAGCCAGGAGCGGATGTTGGCTACCGCCAAGATGAGTCGATAGCCAAATGAATAGTGAATGGAGTTATGGACTCCATTTGAGGTGTTCGTTGTCACCCTGTATTCTTCTAATCTAATCTCATTGGGGAGTGAATTCCACAAGCGAGGGGCCACCACTGAGAAGGTCCTGTCCCTCGTCCCCACCAGACACGTTTGTGACGCCGGTGGGACCGAAAGCAGGGCCTCCCCAGTAGATCTTAAATTACGAGGTGGAATGTAGAAAGAGATACGTTCAGATAAGTATGCAATTTGGCAGCAGCTCCCATGTCAGCAGGGCATTATTGGATTGGGATGTGATGCTGGTTGGGAACTGGAAAGGAATTGTAGTGTGGTTGGGGACCAGAATGAGATTGTTGTGGGAAACTGGCTGGGGCTTAAACTGGTGGTGGTCCCTCGACTCTGGAACTCACTCCCTAAAGACATAAGGCAGGCCCCAACCTTGGCAGTCTTTAGGAGCTTGAAGACGTGGTTGTTCCAGTGTGCCTTCCCGGAATAATGATCCCATAGCACTTTCTCCTCCAAAACACTTTACATTTTCAGATCTGCTCGTATGCCCTTCCACAAACGCCACTATCACCTTTTGTCCATGTCCCAGCATTATTTCCATTTTGACTTTACATTTGGCCTTCCCACTGTTTTTAATTGTGTGTTGTCTTATTGATAATGTTGTATATTTTATTTTAATTGCTTGTACTTGTTGTTTTGCTTGTATTGTTGTATTTGGGCTCGGCCTCATGTAAGCCGCACCAAGTCCCTTGGGGAGATGGTAGCGGGGTACAAATAAAGGGTTGTTGTTGTTATTATTATTATTATTGTAATATATGCAGTGTAATATAAACCATTGTCTCTGTTCAATGGGCTGAAGTTTGTGGATATAACCCCATTCTTTCGCTCACCAATCTTTACACTTTGTTCCATTGCCTTTTGATTGAGTATTGATTTGCTTCCAAGATCAGACAGAATTGGGTGGCTTCCATGTCAGCAGGACAATGAATCCAGGGCAGTGTTTTAATCAGAGCTTTATAGAAGCAGTATGGCCAGCTCTTCGCAGAGCGCTCCCGTGAAGCAAATGAAAATGCGGAGCAGATTCACTGCCCTGTTGACATGGGAGCTGCTGCCAAATTGCATACTTATCTGAACGTATCTCTCTCTACGTTCCACCTCGTAATTTAAGATCTACTGGGGAGGCCCTGTTTTCGGTCCCACCGGCGTCACAAACGTGTCTGGTGGGGACGAGGGACAGGGCCTTCTCAGTGGTGGCCCCTCGCTTGTGGAATTCGCTCCCCAATGAGATTAGATCGGCGTCCTCCCTCCTCACTTTTAGGAAAAAAACTAAAGTCGTGATTTTGGAGTCAGGCTTTCAGCTATTGGACTTAGCAGCACTTAGACACTGAACCGGACCACAGGATTATGACAATAGGAAACGGATATGTGATTTTGATTAGGCGACTATGTTAGTATAGGAGTATGTGATTTTAATTAATGTTATTGCTAATTTTCTATGTATTTGATTTTATGTCGTTGTATTGATATTATGGCATTGAATTGTTGCCCATGTTAGCCGCCCTGAGTCCCCCCTCAGGGGTGAGAAGGGCGGGGTAGAAGCGATGTAAATAATAATAATAATAATAATAATAATAATAATAGTAGTATTTCAGAAAGGTAGTTGGGAAAACATCCCATAAACAGCACACAGAGACCTGTCCCAAGGTGGGGAATGAGTGTATAGATCAGGGGTCTTCAAACTTTTTAAACAGAGGGCCAGGCCACAGTCCCTCAAACTGTTGGAGGGCCGGATTATAATTTGCAAAAAACATGAATGAATTCCTATGCACACTGCACATATCTTATTTGTAGTGCAACAAAACCCACATGAAAACAATACAATAATTAAAATGAAGAACAATTTTAACAAATATAAACTTATTAGTATTTCAATGGGAAGTGTGGGCCTGATTTTGGCTGATGAGATAGGATGGTTGTTGTTGTGTGCTTTCAAGTCATTTCAGGGCCTTCTCAGTGGTGGCCCCTCGCTTGTGGAAAAAAACTTAGGTTGACTCTGAGTGAGGGCCGGGTAGATGACCTTGGAGGGCCGTATCTGGCCCCCAGGCCTTAGTTTGATCTGCAAATCTAGAATGGGGTGAAAATGGGCCTACTCACATTCCGCCATGATCCCGGTCAATCCCCCAAGCCTCAGCTCATGCCATTTTCACCCCGTCATTGATTCCCATCCCTGCGAGAGGTCATCACCTTCCGGTCCAGCCGTGGCCAAAAGGAGAGATTCTCCCATCATTCCATGCAACCTCTTGTGATGTCACAGGTCTTCCAGGCCACATCAGACAGGGATAAGAATGTGAGTGAGTTCCCACAGCCTTTGCTCGCTTTCGACCTCCCTTGCTCCAAGTATCTCCTGAAAGAGATTGCCTGCTCTTGCTCGAGCTTCTGCATTGGCCATAACATAGGGTTTATGGTCTTATAGCAGGCATGGGCAAACTTCCTAACATGGGTGCCCGCATGCTAGCACTCCCTGCTAGGAGGACTGGCTGCTTGGTGATGGAAGGAAGGGAAGGAGGAAGGAAAGAGTGAAGGAAGGATGAAAGGAAGGAAGGGAAGGGATGGAAGGAGAAAGAAAAGGAGGGAGGAAAGAAGGAAGGAAAAGACAAAAGGGAAGGAAAGAAGGATGAAAGGAAAGAGAAGGAAGGGAGGGAGGAGAAAGAAGGAGCGGGAAGAAAGGAAGGACGGACAAAGGGTGGAAGGAGTAAAAGGGAAGTAAGGAGGGAGGAAAGAGGAAAGGAAAGAAAGACAAGGGAAGTAAGGAAGGATTAAATGGAAGGAGGAAGAAAAAAAGAAAGGAAGTAAAGGGTGGAAGGAAGGGAAGGATAAAAGAAAGGAGGAAGGAAAGACAAAAGGGAAGTAAGGAAGGAGAAAGAGGGAGAGAGGGAAGGAAGGASAGATGGACGAAAGGGTGGAAGGGAAGGATGGAAGGAGAAAAAGAGAAGTAAAGAGGGAGGACAGAGAGAAGGAAGGAAAGACAAAAGGGAAGTAAGGAAGGAAAAAGAAGAATAGAATGAAGGAAAGGAAAAAGGGAAGGAAAGAAAAACAAAAGGGAAGGAAGGAGGTAGAGGGAGAGAGGGAAGGAGGGAGGAATGAGGAACAGAAGGAAAGACAAAAGGGAAGCAAGGATGAAAGGGAAGGTGGAAGGAAAAACAGAAGAGAAGGATGGAAGGGAAGGATAAAGAAAAGAGAAGGAAGGAAAGACAAAGGGGAAGGAAGGAAGGATAAAGAGGGAGAGAAGGAGGGAGGGAAGGAAGGAAGGAAGGACGAAAGGGTGGAAGGGAAGAAGGGAGGGAGAAAGTGGGAGGGAAGGAGGAAGGAAGGAAAGGATGATGAGAAAGAGGGCCTGAGAAAAGAGCCCCCACCRCCGGGCCTGGTTTCCCCATACCTGGTCTATAGGATCTCTCCCTATACTTTGATGAACTTACCACCTTTGAGTTGCCTGGGAAAGTAACTCCCACCATCCCCTAACAGCTGGGAATGTGTCGATGTACCCATTCACAACCAGCATCCTCAGGAAAGACTAACATCTTTCCCAAAATCTAGAAACGCCACACATCCCTGTTGTCGTAAGGCACTTCACTCCCCGATGTTGCAGATACAAAAGGACTTCTGTGTTACCATGCAAAGTGGTTTATTTGGGAATTAAAGGACAGGGCGGAAAGCAAAAACAGGAGCCAAGTTTCAAAATACATTGGCAATTGCATACTTAGGAAAATGCTGGATTATAGGAGACAATGGTTACATTTCAGATTTCCCCTCTCAATCCGCATCCACAATCCTGTAAGAGTTCATCACTTTTGTTTTTTAAGATAGCCAAAGCATGGCTACTGTATGAATAGAGGTGGTTAGCTTGAAATTTTGCTTTTGTTTCAAACTTTAGTCTCACAAGGATATTAAGAAGGCAGTTAAATTGGCTACACCAACAAAAAGTATTGCTATCTTGGCCAAGAGTGCTAATTCTCACATCAAGTTCAGGTAAGCCTTTTGAGAACAAACTCAGAAGGAAGCTGACCTCCAAATCAATCCGAAAATGGCCCCAAAGTAGCCCAAAATGTTACCCAATTAGGATCAGCAGCTGAATCCTTTGCAACTTTCTTAAAAGTTCTCCAAGGCGACTAAGGTATTTAAGACCGTGGAGGATGCTCTTAAGAGTCTTGAAACCATGCAGTGGGTTCACCGCTGCAGATAGATTTATTGGTACCTGCATTTCAAGTCACCAGAATGGTTAGAAATGGCCATAACGTGAGTGTGAATTGGGTAACAGAAAAGAAAAGACACCTCTTTGATATGGAGGTGTTCGTGGATGTGTTTATGGAGGTCTACCAAAACCTGTGATCCAAGAAGACCAAGTATGGAGAAACGGAAGGAAATGAAGATGGAACTCCTTCCAAGATAAGGTTTTCCAACCCTGGATATTGATCATGGAAGTGTTTATGGAGGTCTACCGGAATTTGAGATCCAAGGAGACCACATTTGGACAGACGGAGGGAAATGATAAGCTTTCCTAACCCCAATATTCCCATTTAAAGTGGATTTTGGTAAGCAAGATCTGCTCTCCACCACCCAACCCATGGAATAGTAGAAGAGGTCCTATTCCATCTCAATTTCTTCCACCTCAGCCTTGCTGGATGGGGTGAAGGGCCCCACCAGCCAGGAAAGAGGAGCGTTTTGCATCAGGTGGTCCACCAGCTCTTCGGTCAACTCTCGGGCCTTGGTGACTTTCTCTCGGCTCTGGGCCAAGATGGAGCTGGAGAGGTCTTGCAGAGATGTGGCCGACCCAAAGGACGTCCGGAGGTCCTCTGCATGCTGGCGGACGAGGGTGACCTTCTCCTGGAGGCTGTTGGGGAGGCCTTGGAGGTTGGAGACCAGGGCCGCAGTGGCCATTTGGAGCTGGTTGGAGAGCCCCTGGGACACCTCCAAAGCTTGAGTCTCAATCTGGGCGGGGAAAAAGTAAGGATAGTAAGCACCACTTGGCCACGGAAACCCACTGGAACAGTGTGACTTGCTCGATCACAGGGTCCCATGTTTCCATAGACAGGAGGGAGGCTGTCTGTTGACATCTTTTCCCTTTGGGATTTCCCTTCTGAAACGGCAACATACCTTTGGTTCTGGAATCTCCTCCTGTTTGGCCTCAGGGTTCTGCTTTTGCTTCCACTGAAGCCACATCTGATGGAGCTTCTCTTGGCTGCTCTGGAGTTTCTGGTCCATGCCCTGCTTGACTTGCTCAATCTAAGAGATGGAGAAAGGCGTCAGCAAACCTTTCCCAAAAATACATGGTCTGCACTCAGATAGAGAAGGTTTTGTCACTATGGAAATGCCAAAAATACCTCTATCTGTCCGTTTGTCTGTATGTTTAGAATATGGCATTGAATGTTTGCTGTCTATGTGTGCATTGTGATCTACCCTGAGTCCCCTTCAGGGTGAGAAGGGCACGAATATAAACACTGTAAATAAATAGATACATATACCCTCACCCGGGGATGTAGGGTTCAAGAGCTGAACTGTTATCTTGGAATCCTAGTTCTCTCCTTTGCTTTAGCTCACGAGAAATAATTCAAGTGAGCTTTGTGAGAGGTGAGCTGCTACTTTGGTTGAGAGTCTTAGATTTTAACCTGGAGGATTTTGCTTTAGATCAGATGAGCTTTCCAAGAGCCAACTAAGTTTGCTGTGAATCCTAGTTCTCTGGAGCATAGTCTTTTGGATTCATGAATGTGTTCATGGAGGTGCACCATGAACACATTCATAAATACAATTAATGGAGGTCCACCATGAACACATCATAATATAATTCATTGAGGTTCACCATGAACAGCTCTGTAAATACAATTCATGGAAGTCCACCATGGAAATATCCATAAACACAAGCCATTGAGTTCCACAATGAACACCTCTGTAAATACAATTCATTGACCTCTTTAAGGAGATGCACCATGAACACCTCCATAGATGCAATTCATTGACATCTTCACAGAGATGCACCATGAATACCTCCATAAATACAATTCATGGACATCTTCACGGAGATGCACCATGAACACCTCCACAAATACAAATCATGGACATCTTCAAGGAGATGCACCATGAACACCTCCACAAATACAATTCATGGACATCTTCATGGAGATGCACCATGAACACCCCCACAAATACAATTCATGGACATCTTCATGGAGCTGCACCACAAACACCTCCATAAGTATAATTCATGGACATCTTCATGGAGGTCCACCATGAACATCTCCATAAATACAACCCAACAATTCAACAAGACATTGAAAGCCACAGCTCCCATCATCTTCAACCACAAGCTGTGCATGATGGGAGATGCAGCCCTAAAGACTGCATGAGGTCCTCTTTGAACGTGTGGCCCAGTTGGAGTGCAACACCCCCAAGCCAAGAGGCAAGCATGCTGGAGGTGAAGTCCAATAAGACCTGGAAGGTCAATGGAGGCAAGAAACCAACCAGAAGCCCTTCCTTACCAGCTCGATTGTTTGGTGTAACTGTGCCAGGGCATCTTGGGTGTGCTGCTTGGCATTGCTCAGCTTGGAAAGGGAGTGTTCATAGGCGCGGTGGCGGACCTTTGCCGAAAGGGACCCCAGGCGGACAAAGTAGCTCTGCTGTGCTTTCTGACGCTCCATATCGAAACCTTCCATGGACGTGGCCAGTTTGGCTGGAAAGAAACACCCTCATGTTGAGAAGTAGAGAGAGGCCAGAATCAGCCCAGTTTCTGGGAGATTGACTATCGTTCCCCCTTTGACAGAACTACTGGTCATTTCTCCCCAAGACAAAAACTTGGCCGGTCAGCCACTTCCCGTGTCCTAACTGAAAAAGATTATCAGCTCACCCAGCTCTTCATTTGTGACGGGAAGGTAGCGGTCCACCAGCTCTTCTGACTTCCCAAGGACAGCATCGACGCTGCTGGACATCATGTGCCCCACCGTGTTGACACTGCTGGAGATGGCTGAGCGGGTCATCTCCACACCGCCAGAGATGGTGGAGCGGGTCATCTCCATGCCACCCGAGACCACCGACTGGGTCATCCCCATGCCGCTGGAGACCGCTGCACGAGTCAGCTCAACGCCACCTGAGACCACCTCTTTGGTTCTATCCACCATCCCGGACACGGTGCTGCTGAGGGCATCTTTGGCCCCTGTCACGGTGGAGGTCACCAGCTCCTTGGTGTCGGAAATGATCTAGAGAGGAGAGAATTGGAATGGTGCTTTCAACCATTTTGGCGAAAGGTCACAATCCATTCCAACCACCATGTAAGAAGACACAATCAAAGCCCTGCCATCAGATGGCCATCGAGTCCAATATCCTTCTTCCTTATAGGAAGACACAATAAAAGCCCACCTGACAGATGGCCATGTATTCCGATCTCCTTCGTATAAGACAGTGGTTCTCAACCTTCCTAATGCAGTGACCCCCTGTTACAGTTCCTCATTATTTTCATCCCTACTTCAGAACTGTAATTTTGCTATTGTTATGAATCCTAATGTAGATATCTGATATGCAAGATATATTTTCATTCAATGGAGCAAATTTGGCACAAATATCCGATATGCCCAAATTTGAATACTGGTGGGGTTGGGGGTTGATTTTGTCATTTGGGAGTTGTAGTTGGTGGGATTTATAGTTCACCTACAATCAAAGAGCATTCTGAACTCCACCAATGATGGAACTGAACCAAACTTGGCACACAGAACTCCCATGACCAACAGAAAATACTATGTTTTCAGATGGTCTTTGGTGACCCCTCTGACACCCTTTCGCAACCCCCCCCCAGGATGAGAAACACTGTTATAGAAAGACACAATCAAAGCCCTCCCGACAGATGGCCATCCAATCCGATCTTCTTCCTTATAGGAAGATACAACCAAAACCCTCCTGACAGATGGCCACCCAGTCCAACCCCCTTCTTTCACTCAGGAAGACACAATCAAAGCCCTCGCAACAGATGGCCATCCAGGCACATTCCACTGCTGAACATCTCTTATTCTCAGGAACCCCCTTCCGAAAACACCTTGCCTAGAAATTCCCAACTTGAGTTGGAAACAACTTAAGGACACACAGTAGTAGTAGTAGTAACAACACCACCACCACCACCACTACAACAACAACTTGTACCTTATCTGTTGGTTGTTGGAGAATGGGCAACTTCTCCTCCAATTTGTCCAGTCCTTTGCATGCGTATTCGTTGGCCGTCGAAACTGCAGGGAAAAGTGGCATTAGTCCCGTATTGGCATCTTAGGTGTGATGCAGAGACAAAATACGGAAGAAAGAGAGGTTTTTGCTAAAGAACCTAGTGCATTTCATCCCGGCAATATTTTGATGCCCGCCTTTTCCATTCCCTGTTGGTCACTCACTCTGCGGCTCCAGTTTGCTCAGGATGGGCTGCGCCCCAGTGGCCGCAGCTGAGGCGATGGTCTTGACCCCCTTCTCGGCCACATCGCAGACTGACTTGACATAGGGGTGGCTCTCTTTGGTAGAGGCATAGGCCGAAGTGACCATGTCGTAGGCTGAGCTCAGCAAAGGAAGGCTGGCCACTCTGTCGGCCACATTCTGCAGGGAAGACAACACAATAGGTCAGCACTGATATGGGAATGGCACCCAAACTGGAGCCCCAAAAGGGATGTCAAGAGTCTTACTATTGGTCCCAGTAAAAAATCAATTGTAATTCATGCAATAACTTCACAGTTTTCAAACCAACCTTAGTGAAGTTACTGTATATGCATTTGTTATACCTGTTATACAGTCTCCTGCACTGTGCTTATAATATATTGTATATACATATAATATTGATATTATAATGTATTACAATATAATAATACTAATAATAATATGATAATATAATTATATATTTTATATTAGATGTAATATTACTAATAATATTACAGTATCATGTTATAGTACAATGTAATATATAATATTAATATTGTGCTATGGCAATAATATATTGTATTTACATTTTACTTGTAAGCCCCTCTGAGTCCCCTTCGGGGTGAGAAGGGCGGCATATAATTGTCATAAATAAATAAATAAATAAATAAATAAATAAATAAATAAATACCTTTCCTGCCACCTTGTGTCCAGAATGGTGGTATGGATTGATTTATCAATTAAAATAGTTTTTTTTAAGAGTCTTAAGAGAGGAATGTGAGTCTAGAGTGTGATGCCGCAGCAAAAAATGGCAATGCGATTTTCAGTGAATGTTTGGACATTTGAACTGAAAACGGCACATCCAAAAGGGATCTTGGAGTCTTAGTCGAATCCAGACTGAACGTTGAGTTGAGAGTGTGATAATAATAATAATAATAATAATAATAATAATAATAACACTTTATTTGTACCCCGCTACCATCTCCCCAGGGGACTCGGTGCGGCTTACATGAGGCCAGGCCGAATACAACAATACAAGCAAAACAACAACAGTACAAGCAATTAAAATAAAACATAGACATTAAAATATACAACATTATCAATAAGACAACACACAATTAAAAACAGTGGGAAGACCAAATGTAAAGTTAAAATGGAAATAATGCTGGGACATGGACGAAAGGTGATAGTGGCGTTTGTGGAAGGGCATACGAGCAGACCTAAAAAGTGTAAAGTGCTTTGGAGGACAAAGTGCTATGGGATCATTATTCCGGGAAGGCACACTGGAACAACCACGTTTTCAAGCTCCTCCTAAAGACTGCCAGGGTTGGGGCCTGTCTGATGTCTTTAGGGAGTGAGTTCCAGAGTCTAGGGGCCACCACCGAAAAGGCCCTCTCTCTCGTCCCGACCAACTGCGCATGTGATGCTGGTGGGATCTAGAGCAGGGCCTCTCCAGATGATCGAAGGGATCGTGTGGGTTCGTATACAGAGATGAGGTCATGCAGGTAGGCGGGTCCCAAACCGTTCAGGGCTTTGTAGGTAAGAACCTGCACCTTGAATTGGATCCGGTAAATGAATGGCAGCCAGTGGAGCTCCTTGAACAGGAGGGTTGACTGCTCCCTGTAAGGCACCCCAGTTAGCAACCTGGCCGCCGCCCGTTGGATCATCTGAAATTTCTGGGCCGTTTTCAAGGGCAGCCCCACATAGAGTGCATTGCAGTAATACAGTCTAGAGGTGACTAAGGCGTGGACCACCTTGGCCAGATCCGCCTTCCCGAGGTACGGTCGCAGTTGGCGCATGAATCTTAATTGTGCAAAGGCCCTCCCGGTCACCACCGACACCTGAGCCTCAAACGTAAGTGAAGAATCCAGGAGGACCCCCAAACTGCGGACCTGTGACTTCAGGGGGAGTGTAACCCCGTCAAGCACAGGTTGCCACCCTATACCCCGGTCTGGTTTACGATTGACCAAGAGGACCTRTGTCTTGTRGGGATTAATCTTCAGCTTGTTCGTCCTCATTCAGACAGCCACAGGGGTCAGGCACTCGTCTAGCACTCGAGGGGCTTCCTTGGAGTTAGGTGGAAAAGAGTAGTAGAGTTGTGTGTCATCTGCATAGAGATGGCACCAACTCCAAAACTCCAGATGACCTCTCCCAGCGGTTTCATGTAGATGTTAAAYAGCATGGGAGACAGAATGGAGCCTTGCGGGAGACAGAATGGAGCCTTGTGATGCTGCAGCGAAAAAGGCCAGTGTGATTCTCAGTGAATGTTTGGACGTCTGGACTGAAAACATCACTCGCAAAAGAATTTCTTGATGGTAAGAGTTGTCCGGCTGAGAAATATGCTGCACGGAGCCTATTCTTTGGAGGTTTTGAAACCGAGACTGGATGGCCATTAGGCATGTGCAAAAAATTCGGAAGTGTCGGAAATTGTAAGAAAATCGGAAATGTTGTAACTCGGAAGCCGTATCTGAAGCATTTAAGTGGCCCACATCAAATATTTTAGAATCGAAACTTATCCCATACCTTTTTGTTTTAGTTTTGTAACTCTCAGAAGGCTCCTAAACTCAGTTTCATATTCAATGCAAGGAAGCAACGCAAAGCCAAAAAGGGCTACCTGCCTAGAATTAATGGAGTCTCGGCATTAGAAGTGGTGAAAAGAGGGAACAGTGCATTTTGGGAACAGCACAGAACTCTGGGAAATGTAGTTTGGGAAGGGGAGGAGCCTTATCATCCTATAGCACATTTTGCTTTGTTGAGTGTCCATTGATTTAACGAAGTTTCTGCCACAAAAACGAAGTTTCTGGAAAGTAGAACAACTACTTTCTGGAAAGTAGAACAACTACTTTCAAAGTAAGGACTACACAATTAAACAAGAAATAACACTTTCAAAGTAGGAACAGATTTTCTTTATTATTAAAAAAAGTTGTTTAGAAAAACTTTGAAAATTCGCCAAAAATCCGTGGAAAAGTGAAATTTTCTGAAATTTGTTAGGTTAACAGTGGCCAATGTGTTCTACCATTGTCGCAAGTTTCACCCCAATCGCTTTAAAAATGGGGGAGATAAGAGCCCCTGACGTTTCCCCTTTATAGTCATTTAATTATGCGCATGCTCAATTACTGTAATGAAATAATAATGAAATTCCATTAGTCTCGTTATAGTAACGAATTTTTCGCTAAGTATAGTTTAGAAAGACTTTAGAGCTCCGAGTTTTGTACTGACTTTTGAATCTTTTTTTTAATGGATCACATATCCCTAATGGCCATCTGTCGGGAGGGATCGGATTGCGTCTTCCTGCCTTACAGAATGGGATTAGTCTGGACAGCCTCTGGGATCCCTTCCAACTTTAGGATTCAATTATTCTCTAGATTTTATTTATTTATTTACTGTATTTGTATACCGCCTTTCTCAGCCTATCAGCGACTCAAGATGTATTTCTCCATGAACCTTAGAACGTCTATGAGGCTGGATGACCATCTGCTGGGAGGGTTTGGATTGAGTATTCCTGTCTGATAGAAGGTTGGGTTGGATGGTCTTTAGGGTCTCTTCCAACTCTAGGATTCTCTGGTCCTATTTCTCCATGAACCTTCTAATGTCTAATGAGGTTGGATGGCCATCTGTTGGGAAGGATCGGATTACATCTCCCAGAATGGAGTTGGACTGGATGACTTTTGGGTTCCTTCCTAACTCATGACCTTTATTGCAGGGGGTGGAGCGCAAGTGTGGCAAAGAAGAGTGACTATATGGATGCTTTCCAATTATAATTTTAAGTTTTGCATGGCTTCCGAATAGCAAAACAATGCTTGTGCAATGGTTTTGCAACGGCACAGAATACAAAAGCTGGGCAACGTTACCCCAAAACCCACTTACTTTTGGATCCTGCTCTTCGGCTGGAGCCTCGCTGGCACTTTTGTTCTCGCTGGCACTTTTGTTCGGGGTGGCCATGGTTTCGGGGAGGGAGGTCAAAAGACAGCCTGCGTCAGATCAAGATAGGAAAGCCAGGAGTAAATTCCAGGGAGGGAAAGGCAATAATTCCCGATCAGAGGTCAGGCCCGAGATGTCCCTTATCGGCTCCCCATGGGATCTGCCTCCCCTTTGGCCCACCATTGCCCCATATCTGGGGGAAAGGAAGGAATGGAGCATTGTCCAAGGCCTTCTTGCACAAGGCCAACCCTTCTGGGCATCTCCTGCTTCAAGAACCCGGTTTTGAGATCAAGACAAACTCTGTACACACAGACATGCACTGTTCCGTCTTGCACAGATAGATAGACAGACAAACAAATAGATAGACAGATAAATAGACAAACAGATAGACAGACAGACAAACAAATAGGTAGACAGATAAATAGACAAACAGATAGATAGACAGATCATAGAGAAACGTTGTCTGGAGATTAGATAGATGAATAGAAATACACAGACATGTCCCTGTATCTCAGGCAAAGATAAAGGGAAGAATGGATAGATATGTAGATTGAGCACCCCTTATTTGTAGGTGTCTCTGTGTCTATCTATCTATCTATCTCTCATCTATCTCTCTATCTATACATAAGTGTGTGTGTGTATGTAGACCAAGTATTCCCTATTTGTATGTGGGTGTGTATATATAATAATAATAATAAATAATAATAATACTTTATTCATACCCCGCTACCATCTCCCCAAGGGACTCGGTGCGGCTTACATGAGGCCGAGCCCATATGTGTGTGCTTGTGTATATATCTATATATAGACTGAGCATCCCTTATTTGTATGTGTACATATGTGTGCAAGTATATATGTGTGTGTGTGTGTGTGTGTGTAGACTGAGTATTCCCTATTTGTATGTGGGTGTATATATATATATATGTGTATATATGTATATGTAGACTGAGTATCTCTTATTTGTATGTGTACATATGTATATATATGTGTGTGTGTGTGTGCGTGCGTATGTAGACTAAGTATTCCCTATTTGTATGTGGGTGTGTATATATATGTGTGTGTGTATATGTATATGTAGACTGAGCATCCCTTATTTGTATGCATACATATGTGTGTGTGTATATATATGTGTGTGTATGTAGACTGAGTATTCCCTATTTGTATGTGGGTGTGAATACATATATATATGTGTGTGTGTATGTGTATATATGTATATGTAGACTGAGCATCCCTTATTTGTATGTGTACATATGCATATATACATGTGAGTGTGTGTGTATGTAGACTAAGTATTCCCTATTTGTATGTGGGTGTGTATATATATATGTGTGTGTGTGTATATATGTATATGTAGACTGAGCATCCCTTATTTGTATGTGTACATATGTGTGTGTGTGTATGTAGACTGAGTATTCCCTATTTGTATGTGGGTGTGTATATATGTGTGTGTGTGTGTATGTACATGTGTATATATGTATATGTAGACTGAGCATCTCTTATTTGTATGTGTACATATGTGTATATATGTGTATATATGTGTGTGTAGATTGAGTATTCCCTATTTGTATGTGGGTGTGTATATATGTGTGTGTGTGTGTGTGTGTATGTGTATATATGTATATGTAGACTGAGTATCCCTTATTTGTACAGTGTGTATATATGTGTGTGTGTGTATATATATATATATAGAGAGAGAGAGAGCGCGAATATCCCTTATTTGTATATATGCGTGTGTGTGTGTATGTGTGTGTGTGTATGTATATATATATATATATATATATATATATATATATAGAATGATATCCTGTGTGTTTGTGTGTACATGTGTGTGTATGTAGACTGAGTATCCCTTATTTGTATGTGATATATGTATATGTAGATTGAGCACCCCTTATTTGATATGCGTGCACACACACATATGTGTATATGTGTATATGTATATGCTGTATATACTGACTGAGCAGCCCTAATCCCAAATATTTGTATGATATACATGCGCGCATGTGCGCACACACACACACATATATATATAGCATTTGCAAATTCGGGAGAAGAGATGTGGAGTCTATGTCTGCATCATAAAAACATGCAAATATTTTGCATTTGGGAACTATCGAAATGGAATACTCAACATATGCACACACACACATATATGCTGCACACGGGATACAGATAGATAAGGTATCTAGTATATTAAAAGCACACTTTAAATCAGAAGGATTAAGGAATAGCTGATAAAGGATACACAACACACACACATAATATTGTGCGCATACATATATCTCATATATATCTCAAAATGATATATATATATACTCACACACAGAGAGATATATTCCAAAAGACAAATACTTTCAATATAGCTACATGTACACATATATATATTTCTAAATTCAATACACACAAATGCATACATAAATATATACATACACATATTCCAAAACGCAATGTATGTATGTACACAAACATATACATTAAAGTCATATATATTTAATGTAGTTATATATATATATACACACATATATTTAAAGAACACAAACATATGCGCATATTGCAATTTTATGCGTATATATGTATGTACATTCAACACACACAAACATATATTGGAATGCAATATATACCTACACAAACATGTATCTATATATTCACAAAATGCAAGTCTATAGAGACACATTTCTAAACCCACTTGAATAAGGCATTGAAACTCACCTCAAGTGCAAAGTCTGGAGAGCTACTCCGGAGCTTGGAGGCGCCTTATATATGTCTATCTACTCCGGAGTCACTCCCCTTTTCAATCCGGAGCGGTTTGGGGCGGTTTGGAGAAGTTACTCCAAAGGAGTAACTTTGAGGCGTGCCTTGACCCAGAGGCAAACCTCTGGAAGAGAAAGTAGTCATGTGATTGTTGAAAACTAGTGAGTCAGTTCCTGAAAACTTACTTACTTTCCTTTCTCCCTGCCTCTTTCTTTCTTTCTTTTTTCCTCCCTCCCTTCTCTCCTTCCCTCTTTCCTTTACTCCCTACTCCCTTCTTTCTTTCCTTCCCTTTCTCTTTCCTATCTTCACTTTCTTTTACTTTAACTTTAATTAGCACACTAGACTGCTTAGGCAGTATAATGATTATTTCTTTATTCTCTTTCATGTGCCCTATATTATTCCACTCTTTAAATATTTCAACTCCTTGCTTTCCTCTTCCTTCATTCCCTCTCCTCCATAAATCTTTCATCCCCTCCTTGTTTTACACCTTCTTTCTGTCTTGCTTCCTTCTTTGTCTCCTACCTTTCTTCATTCCTGCCTTCCTTCTCTCTCCTTCCTTCATTAATTCCTTCCTTACTTAATTAAGTACCTCCTCCATCCCTTACCCTCATCCCTCCCTACTCCTTCCTTCATCTAATTCCTTCTTCCTTTTCTTTTCTGCTTTCTCCTCCCTTCTTGTCATCCCTTCATTCACTCCATATATCTTCTCGTCCTCACTGTCAGACTCTTTATTTCTTTTTCCTCCCTCCTTGTCTCATTCCTTTTACATTTACTTCATAATAATTGTCATTACGTCCTTCCTTCTTTTCCTTCACTAACCTTATTGATTGTCCTACATTTACATTTCAATCCCTAAATACTTTCTTTACTACTCAGCTTCTTCTTTTCTATTTTTTCCCCATCCATCTCTTATTCTCTTTCTTTACTACACGACTCACATATAATTCTGCGTCACTTCACCCTATAATTTAATCACCTAACCTTGCTTTTCCTTCCCAGTCATGTTAATCAACGATCTTTCTTTTCTCCCTCTGCCTCTTTTTCTCTTTCTTTCTCCTCCACTTTCCTCTTCTTCCCTCCCCCTTTTTCCTTCTTTTTCTATCCTCCCTCTCTCCTTCTCTCCTTCTTTTCTTTCACCCTTCCCTTCTCTGCTTCTCCTCTTTCACCTCCTCCTTCCATCTTTCTTTCTTTTCTTCCTCTTTCCTCCCCCTGTCCCTTCTCTCCTTCTCTCTTCCCTTTCCTCTCCCCTTTTCCTTCTTTTTATTTCCACCTTCCTTCCTTCTTTCCTCCTTCCTTCCCTCCCTGCTTCTCTATTTCCTTCTTTCTTTCCTCCCTTCTCTGCTTCTCCTTCCCTTTTGTTGCCTCTTTTCATCTTTCTTTCCTACCTCTTTCTTTCTCCTTTCTCCCTCCCTTCTCTCCTTTCCCCCTTCCCCTTCTTTTTCTTTCTTCCTTTCCTTCTCACCCTACTTCCCTCTTTCTTTCATCCCTTTCTTCCTTCTCTGCTTCCTCCCTTTCACTTCTTCCCTCCATCTGTCTTTCCTGCCTCTTTCTTTTCTTTCTCTTTCCTCCCTTCCCTTCCCTCCTTTCTTCCTCCTTCTTTCCTTCCTTCCTTTCTCCGTTCTTTCCCATCCTCCTTCTCTCCCTTTCTTCTTTCTTTCCTCCTTCCTTTCTTCTTTCATTCCTTTTTCTTTCTTCTCCTTCCCTTTCCTTTTATTCACCTTCTTTTCCTTTCTTCATCTCTTCCTTCCTGTTCCTCATTTCTTCCTTTCCTTTTTCCTTCCTTCCTTCCTTTCCTTCCTTCCTTCTCCTTTCCTCTTTTCCTTTCTTTTCCTTTTCTCTGTTTTTCTTTCCTTTTTCGTCCCTGCCCTCCTTCCCTCTTTCATTCTTTCCTTCCTTCTCTGCTTCTCCCCTTTCATTTCCTTCTTCTATTTTTTCTTTCCTGCCTTTCTTTTCTTCCTTCCTTCTCTCCTTTTCTCTCCTTCCCTCTTTCATTTCCCTTGTTTTTCTTTCCTCCTTCCTTCCTTCTCTCCCTCCCTCCTTCTCTCTTTCCTTTATTGGCTTATGTTCAGCTTGGGGACGACTACTATTTCTTTTTTGCTTGGATTGTTTTCAAGCCAAGTGTCGAAACCTTAACCTAGGATTGCATTGGCCTTTTTTGCTGCCGTATCACATTCTTAGGCTCCACTGAGATTTCTATGTCCCTTTCCCTGGCATTTCCTTGCTTCTTAGCATCAGTATCCTGCATTCCTCCCTCTTGCAATTCCTCCTTGTGTTTGTCTTGGCCAATGATTAGTTTTCT